GTAGAAGATGGCCCAAGTCCTTGGGTCCCTGCACCCACATGGGAGACCCTGAAAAGAAGCTCGTGGCTCCTGGCTTTGGATTGGCCAGATCCAGATGTTGTGGCCAGTTGGGGAGTGAACCAGCAGATGGAAGACCTCTCTCTCTTTCTGCCTTTCCTTCTCTCTCTGTGTAACTCTGACTTTCAAATAAAGAAGTAAATCTTTAAAAAAAAAAAAGGGGGGGGGGACAGGATAACAAAGAAGGGACTAGTTTATTTCAGACTTTAGAAACCATCTTATGGACTGTGGATATATTTTCTCCAAATTAATTAGAGACATACACTCACACATACATGTACTGATTTAAAACTCACAGTGTACTTATGTACAAGTTATTACTTGATTTGATTCATATATTTCAACAAAGGACAGAAAAACAGAACTAAAAGTAATCTTTCTTGGGGTCACATGACATTTTTTTCTTTAGTTAAAATCTCTACTTCCTTAAAAAATTGAGTTATTTTTCATTATCTGGAGTAAGTAGTTGAATAAATATTTATGAAATTGTAAATAGAAAGGCAGTTTACATTTTGGGTACACAGACTATAATCACCATGGTAACTCCACAAATGTGAGTTCTCTGGAGTTACATGGTAAGTACATTTCTTACTAAGAGTATGCCTAATGATTCCTCCCTCCCTATTTTTTCCATATTAAAAATTTCTTTTACATTTGTAGTGATAGTGCAGATATACTAATATTAAAAGTATATATATATATATGTTTTAAAGATTTATTTATTTATTTGAAAGTCAGAGTTACATAGAGAGAGGAAAGGCAGAGAGAGAGAGGTCTTCGATCTGCTGGTTCACTCCCCTAAATGGCCGCAAGGCCAGGGCTTGGCCAGGCCAAAGCCAGGAGCCAAGAGCTTCTTCTAGGTCTCTCACGTGGGTGCAGGTGCCCAAGGACTTGGGCTGTCTTTTCCTGTTTTCCCAAGCCATAGCAGAGAGTTGGACCGGAAGTAGAGCAGCCGGGACTTGAACCGGCGCCCATATGGATGCTGCCATTGCAGGTGGCATCCTTACCCGCAGTGCCAACCCCCCAAAAATACATATTTATTTAAAGACACAATATCTTGCAACTGAAGGGAGGGAATATTACTTGGTCCCTTATTCCTGTTACTCATTTCTTTCCAAAATATTCCCATGACCTTGATGTTTACAGATACAGCAGTCTGTCAAAAGAAGCTGCGTGAACTTTAATGTTCACTATAAGTTTTCTTTATTTTTTAAACATTTATTTATTCATTTGAAAAGCAGAGTTACAGAGAGAGGGAGAGACAGAGAGGTCTTCCATATGCTAGTTCACTCCCTATGTGGCTTCAATGGCCAGTGCTAGGCCAGGCCAAAAATCTAGGAGCTTCATCCCAGTCTCCCACATGGGTGGCAGGTACCTAAATGCTTGGGCCATATTCTGTGGCTTCTCCCAGGCCTTTAGCAGGGAGCTGGACTGGAAGTGGAGTAGCCAGGACCTGAACAGGTGCCCATATGGTTGCTTGCATTGCAGGCAGCTGCATTACCTGCTATGCCACAATGCTGGCCCCTGTTAATTTTCTTTTGTTAGCACTTAGCTAATAAAGAGTCTGATATAGAGATTACAACTGGGTTCATATGCATTCTGTTTCCTTCTCTTTAGTGATAACTAGCAGTTTTTGTTTTGTTTTCAAGTACATTATTTTTAAGGATTTTTATACTGATTTGACCTAAACCATTTTTTTCCCTCATCTTCTCAGTCAGATGTGGAACTTTACTATACTGAGTATGAATGAATTTTTACTGAACTAGAAAGAATCTGTTGGGTATACAATTAAATACTTCAGGGTTGATGGAGGGCCTTTCCTCTTAAGTCTTGGTTTGGTCTCCCACAAGGCAAGCCAGGAAAGTGGTCAGATACCAGAGGAGGCAGCTGGACTTGGAGCAGACCTTTGGGGTTTATTTCTGGAGCAGTGCTGGCTGTTTTTGGCTGCTGTTAGAAAATCATGTTAAGCTTTTGGATTCTGTCTGTGCATTGATTCTAGATTGATATCTTAAAAATCATTTCCTATTTTAACTAATTTTTAAAATATTTATTTATTTGAAAGGCAGAGTGATGGGGATTGGGGGGTGGGTGGGAGAAGATATCTTCCATCTGCTAGTTCACTTCCCAAATGCCTACAATAGCGTGGACTAGGCCAGAGTGAAGCTAGGAGCCAGGAACTTTCTCCAAGTCACCTACACAAGTGGCAAGAACCCAAGTAGTTGGGCCATCATCAGCTATCTCCCAGATTTATGAGCAGGCAGCTGGATTGGAAGCTTAGAGTAGCTAAGGACTTGAACTAGGCATTGTAATATGGTGTGCGGGTATCTCAAATGGTGGCTCATCCCTCTGCCACATAGAGCCCGCTCTTGTTCTAATTTTAGTATCCCTTTGTCTGTCTCATGGAAATACGTTCCTCAAGGAGGGAGGGAGGGTAGTATCATTATATTTTTAGAATCATATCTGTGGCTGGCCTTGTGGTGCAACAGGTAAAGCTTCCACTTTGAATGCCAGCATCCAACATGGGTTCTGATTTGTGTCTTGGCTGCTTGACTTCCAGTCCAGTTCCCTGTTAATGGGCTGAGAAAGCACTGGAAGATGACTTGGGTCCCTGCACCCATGTGGGAGACCTGGAATGAAGCTCCTTGTTCCTGGCTTCGACCTAACCCAGCGCTGGCCGTTTAGGCCACTTGGGGAGTGAACCAGCAGATGGAAGGCCTGTCTCTCCATTTCTTCCTCTTTCTGTCTCTCCCTCTCTGTAACTCTTTCAAATAAATAAATAAATAATTAATATACCAATATATACTATACATTAATGTAATTATTAATTCATTTTGTTAATTAAAAATATGAACTGCATGAAATCTGTTCTTTTTATTAATTAAAAATACACGTACAAATGGGAAAAATACGTTTCTCAATGAAAATACTTTTTATGATTGATTCTTTGTTCATATTATACCTGAGTTTAAGCAGGTCACCCACACATTCCTGAGTTAGCATTATATATGTCCCATATTAGACTTCAGTTTAAACAGTTGTTAGGATATTTAGGTGCTGTTAAGATAGGAGAACAGATAGGAATCTTTTTGTTTTGTTCATTTAGGAATCCATAGGTTGGACTGTTTTTGTTTTGGACATGATTGTTGAATTGATGACAAGAATTGAGGATTTGCAGCGCTAATAGTGTGTTGGTAGAATAGTGTGGAGAAAGAGAGTATGTTTCTGACCAGAAGTGGCCTGTGGGTGAGTGAAGTCTTTTTTTTTTTTTTTTTAATTTATTTGACAGAGTTAGACAGAGAGAGAGAGAGAGAGAGACAGACAGAGAGAGACAGAGAGAAAGGTCTTCTTTCCGTTGGTTCATTCCCCAAATGGCTGTGACGGCTGGAGCTCCGCCGATCCAAAGCCAGCAGCCAGGTCTTCTTCCTGGTCTCCCAAGCACTTGGGCCATCCTCCGCTGCCTTCCCAGGCCACAGCAGAAAGCTGGACTGGAAGAGGAGCAACCAAGACTAGAACCGGTGCCCATATGGGATGCCGGTGCCACAGGCGGAGGATTAACCAAGTGAACCACAGTGCCGGCCCCAAGTGAAGTCTTAAATGTTTGCTGTGTGTGACTTCTTGAGGGAGTTTGGAGACTAAGTGGAGCATCAGCTGCAACTTTATTTCTCCTCTTTTCTTTTCCAAAATACAAAGTAACGTATGGTAAAAGATTCATTAATTTTCTTAGCTGTAGTAAAAATAAGTACATTGCTAAAGTTCATATTCCATGCCCTGCAAATTTTTTGTATGCTGTAAGCTGTTTTGTTTGTGTATGGTACAGAAGTGTTGGTTCATATGAATCTTAGAGAACAGAGAAAGTGGGTAGTTGGAATTTAGGTTATGGGTTTGGTTTGGATGTTGGAAGTACAGTGAGAGGAAGTTGATGTCAAGATAAAGATTTAAGCTACAGTGTAGCTTCTTCTCTTTAGACTGCAGTGCAAGTAACATGTAATCAGATTTCTTTGTTTTTGGGACTGACTTCTACTTGAAAGGAAGTAGAGGAAGCTTATTACATAGATTTCTTCCCCTGTAAAATGCTGTTCTCTCTTCCACAAAAAAAAAAAAAGTGAAAAGAGTTTTTTCAAGATGTGTCTTTGTAATGATATTTATATGGATTTTTAGAATTTTACGCTGTTACACATTTTGTTAAAGTTATGGTATATCCTAGAAGGTGATTCTAGAAGTTTAGCATTTTGAGATTTTAGCAGCTGAAATGGTTAAAATTCAGTTAATAAAATGCAGTTTTTGAAAACTTGTATCCTGGATGTTGTGAATACAGAGATGATTTTATGCATAGCAGGTTGGTGTACTGTAAATATTGTTAGCTGGTATTCCTTGTTATTGAATATACTTCTTTTAAAAGCCTTCTAACATAAAGAAAGGAGTAAGGAATTTAATCTAATTTATGGAAGAGCAAATCATTAGTTAGGTGTATTAGTTTTCTGTGACTAACATGAGCAAATATCATGGACTGAGTGGCCTAAACAACAGAGCTTTTTTCCAGAGCTCTGGAAGGGAGAGGTCCAGGATCAAGGTGCTGGCAGAGCTGGCTTTTCCTGAGGCCTCTTTCCTTGGCTTGTGGATGACCGCCCTCTTGCTGTCTCCTCAGACATAATCATCCCTCTGTTCAGGCAGGCCACTCCCTGGTGTCTCTTCTTACAAGGACGCCTGTCAAATCGGATTAGGGTCCTACCCTGATGACCTCATTTTAACTTAATCCCTTCCTTAAAGACTATCTCCAAATCTGGTTTCAATCTGAGGTTCTTGGATTGGGACTCAACATATAAATTTTAGGGGAACGCAATTTAAATATTAGGTAATCAAATCAATTAAGAGGAAGAAGTAATTATTTAACAGTGTTTGTGTAGAAGTGCATTTGCTCTATTTTTGCTGTGTATCTCTCCCAGCCGGAGAATTTTCATCCTTGGACCTTCTCATCACGTGCCCCTCTCTCGATGTGCACTTTCCAGTGTGGATATATATAGGACGCCTCTGTATGACCTTCGTATTGACCAAAAGAGTAAGTATATAGAAGTCTTATGGGTTTTAAATAGCTAAAGTGCTTCTAACAGGAATTTTAAATTAATTTTAAAAACTTAAAAATATAAGTGATAGACTTAATATATCAATTTTTAAAAAAGAATTTGTTACAACTAATCTGTATAAAATCAAAAGAAAGATAGATAATCAATCTTCCATATTCCTAAAAGATGCCTAGTGTTTTCCTACTAGCTGCAGAACTTTGTCAGGTTCTACGTGTCCAGACTATAGTGGTTATTGTATTCAGGGATGTACCACGTAGTCTTTGTACCATGAGTCAAGAAATTAGATACCCATACCAACTTGATGAAAAATATGGGCATATTATAATGTCTCATATGTGAATCACTTTTCCCACTGTAAATAGATAGTGATGATAAGACATGTATTTCCTCTCAAGTGATTTTGTGGTGAAAAAATGGGACTATCGTTTTATAACTTATAAAAGATTAACTTCTACATGAATCTTTTTTTAAAAATATTTATTTACTTATTTGAAAGTCAGAGTTACACAGAGAGAAGAGAGGCAGAGAGAGAAAGAGAGGGAGAGATCTTCCATCCAGTGGCTCACTCCCCAACGGGCTACAACAGCTGGAGCTGCGCCGATCTGAAGCGAGGAGCCAGGAGCCTCTTCTGGGTCTCCCACATGGGTGTAGGGGCCCAAGGACTTGGGCCATTTTATATTGCTTTCCCAGGCCATAGCAGAGAGCTGGATTGGAAGTGGAGTGGCTGGGTCTCGAACCGGCGCCCATATTGGATGCCAGTGCTTCAGGCTAGGATGTTAACCCACTGCGCCACAGCGCCGGCCCCTACGTGAATCTTCTGTTATTTTTAACTACATTAATTTGTTTGTTATTTTTTCCTGAGTGTTCCAGAAATCATAGTTTCTACATAACACATGTATAAATTAAAACCTTTCAAGTTTATACCAATATTTTTGGAGAAGTAAGAGAAAAATATGAAACAATACATCCTGAACAAAGATTTGCCTTCCTCAAAATAATTACCTTCATAAACTTGGTTTTATCTTTCCCTCTCATCAGATTATTACATTTGGGGTGCTTTTGTTTCAGGAAATTTTGCAGCACTTTCTTCTGTTAAATGAAAATAATTGATTTGTAAAAGAAATGATTAGCTCTTTTGTTTTAGACTTAAATTTTCATAATTTGAGGTTTTTTTTTTTTTTTTTTTTTTTGGACAGGCAGAGTGGACAGTGAGAGAGAGACAGACAGACAGAAAGGTTTTCCTTTGCCATTGGTTCACCCTCCAATGGGCTGGCGCGCTGTGGCCGGCGCACCACGCTGATCCGAAGGCAGGAACCAGGTGCTTCTCCTGGTCTCCCATGTGGGTGCAGGGCCCAAGCACTTGGGCCATCCTCCACTGCACTCCCTGGCCACAGCAAAGAGCTGGACTGGAAGAGGGGCAACTGGGACAGAATCCGGGACTGGTCCCTGACCGGGACTGGAACCCGGTGTGCCGGCGCCACTAGGTGGAGGATTAGCCTATTGAGCCGCGGCGCTGGCCAATTTGAGGTTTTAAGTATCACAGAGTAGTAGGAATTTGTTATTGGAATGTATCTTTTTTTAAAGATTTATTTATTTATTTGAAATTTAGAGTTACACAGAGAGAAGGAGAGGCAGAGAGCGAGAGCGAGAGAGAGATCTTCCACCCTCTGGTTCACTCCCCAATTGGCCGCAACAGCGGGAACTGGGCCAATCCAAAGCTGGGAGCCAGGAGCTTCTTCCAGGTCTCCCACGCAGGTGCAGGGGCCCAAGCACTTGGGCCATTTTCTGCTGCTGTCCCAAACCATGGCAGAGAGCTAGAACAGAAGTGGAGCAGCTTGGTCTTGAACTGGTTCCCATATGGGATGCCAGCAGTGCAGGCAGTGGCTTTACCCACTATGCCACAAGGTCGGCCCCTGGAATATATCTTATTAATGAAGCTTAGGCCCTTAGATGGTTTTAGGGGACACACATCACTTTTTTAAAAAAATATTTATTTATGTATTTGAAAATCAGAATTAGAGAAAACACACACATACACAGAGAGAGAGAGAGAGAGAGAGAGAGCGAGCGATCAATCGATCTTTCATCTACTGGTTCACTTCCCAAATGGCTGCAGTGGTTAGAGCTGGGTCAGGCTGAAGCCAGGAGCCAGGAGCTTCTTCTGGGTCTCCCATGTTTGTGCAGGGGCCCAAGAACTTGGGTGATCCTTTACTGATTTCCCAGGTGTATTAGCAGGGAGCTGGATTGGAAGTGAAACAGCCAGGACTTGAACTGGTGCCGATATGGGATGCCCACGTTGCTGACAGCAGCTTAACCCACAGTGCTGGACCCTCATACTTCATTTTCAAAACCTTATTGAAGCATTCAGAAAATTTTAGATTTTGGATAGCTTGCTAATGAAGAAATGGAGAATTTTAAACCAGGTGTAATTTTATGTAAAAAAAAAATCATTCTTCTCTTTTTTTCTTTCTTTGGTATGGTAAAATCTACTTAAGGATTTAGATATTAAATTGTTCTGTGATAAAATATTCTCATCATAGTCTCCTACCCCTCTCCCCCAAATGGTGAACTTCACCTTTTCTTTGCCCTGTAGTATCCAGTTTTACATATTCGTCAGAAGCGTCTGAATTACTAAGTATTTTAAGTTGGCATGGTACAATTTATGATGTGATCTGTCACATGAACTTGATTTAGAGTTTTGAGGAAAATAACATTCTTAACAGGAATTTTCTGTTCTTGGTATGGCAGAAACTTGAGATGTGAAGTAGTAATGGCACACAATTTATTAAAAAATGAAACTTCAAAGCTACCTTATTCAATTTCATGAGTGGCCAGTGGCTTTTCCATATTTCACTAGGAGTTCTCATTAACTGTGTTCTTGCTAGTGGGCCCTGATTAAGGTCAAGGAAAAGCCTAGACCCAGGGGTGATTTTAGAAATAATGAAAGAAAGAACTGATGAGAAATTTATTATTTCTTTATATAACTTAGGTATAGAATGATGAGTAAGTATTATTTTGCCTGGTAAATTATAAAATGAGGATTTTTTTGTTAATGAAAATGAAAGACAATACTCTGCTTCTTTCTCTTGCTAACGCGTGCTATTTTGTGTTAACAGGGTAGAATTTGATAGGATAAGGATATATGTTAATGTCATTGTTTTAATGTATTCTGAAATCTCTTTAGTTTACGGAGAACTGTGGAAGACAGGAATGTTTGAACGCATGTCTCTACAAACAGATGAAGATGAACACAGTATTGAAATGCACTTGCCTTATACAGCTAAAGCCATGGAAAGGTATATTGATTGATGTAATACATCTTAAACCAGGCAATTATTTTTTTGAAATTATTTTGACTAGGGTAAGATAATTATGAGAGTAAAGAGGTAAAATACATTTTGTTATCTGAAGTGAATAAAAATTTGAGATTAGAATGTCTTAATGTGTTTTGAAATTGATTTTGAATAGTTTGCCTCTGAAGGCAGATTGACAGAGTTATTTTGTTACATGGAAATGTATATATAAAAAAAGTGTGTGTATCTTGGCTTTCTTGATCATTCATTGCTTTTCTCAGAGTAATGACTAAGTTCTTTTATGGTACAGTGTTATATTTAATCATAAAGTTTTAGATTTGGAAGTAACTTTAGAGACCATTTATTTCAGCCTTATATGAAGCACACAGATTTCTCTCATGACTGATTGTTATTTGGTACCTGCTAAAGGTCTTCCAGTGGGGATGCTCACTGGACTGTAAGCAGAGTGAAGATAGGGACACAGTATCTGTTTTGCTTTCCACTGTCTATAACAGTGTGTAACCCCAGGCCCAACAAGTGGTACTCATTAATTTACTTTGGTAAAAAAAAAAAAAAAAAAGTTTCTGGAGTTTTCTCCTTTTAGTGCAGCATTTGAATTAGAGATTCTTCTTTGTCAGTCACATTTCCTGATTTTTTTCAACCATTTCCTTCATATGGATTTGATATTCCACTTACTGTTTGACTAATTTGAAATATGGTATTATTATTTCTTTTAATTTTTTCACTGTATTCTGTCTCTGTTTCTTTTAAGATTTATTTATTTGGAAGTCAGAGTAACAGAGACAGAGGGAGAGATGGAGGGAGGGAGGGAGAGTGGGAGACAGAGAGAGAACTCCCAGTTGCTGATTTACTCCCTAAATTGCTGCAATGGCAAAGGCTTGGCCATGCTAAAGCTAGAACCCAGGAGCTTCTTCCTTGTCTCTCACATGAGTGGCAGGGGGCTAAATAGTTGCTTTACCCAGGTGCATTAGTAGGGAGGTGGATCAGAAGTGGAGCAGCTGGGACACAAATCAGTGCCCATATGGGATTCTGACATTACAGGTGGTAGCTTAACCCACTAGACCACAACACTGGCCCCTACCATATTCCCTTAGTAAAGTACTTGGTGCGTTGTAGGTTCTCTGTTGTATATGTTAATGAAGTCAAAGATTACCATGGAATTTTTAATGCTGTGGCTTATGTTATATCAGCCGATATACTTGTGACCTACTAAAACCCACTGCTTTTTTTTTTTTTAAAGATTTATTTATTTATTTGAAAGGCAGAGTTATGGAGAGGCAGAGGCAGAGAAAGTGAGAGAGAGACAGACAGACAGACAGGTATGTCTTCCATCCTCTCGTTTACTCTCCAAATGGCCTCAACAGCTGGAGCTGGGCTGATCTGAAGCCAGAAGTCAGGAGCTTCCTTGGGGTCCCCTATGCCAGTATAGCGGCCCAAGGACTTGGGCCATAGCAAAGAGCTGGATTGGAAGTGGAACATCCATATGGGATGCCAGCACTGCAGGCGCTGCTGTACCTGCTATGTCACAGCCTGGCTCCTGAAGAATTTTTTAAAAATCCATGTAATATTAAATTATAAGCCAATTATTTTAATTAAATTTCTTTTAACACATCCTAGGTTTTCATAAATTGTGAAAACATATATCATTTATTTCTTGGATTGCTTTTATCATAATTACATTCTTAAACCTCAAAAGATCATAGAAAATTTTTGTTTGCTGAAATATTTACATATTTTATCAAGAGAAAATATAATTTAGACTTAATAGACCTCAGTAGAATAAAACCAGTAAGCTGACAACAATATCCTTAACGATTTTAACAAAATAACATTCTTTTGGTTATTTTAAAAGCATGACATATATGCTGTAGAAACCTTAAGAAAGTGGAAACTTTAGCAAACAAAAATACTTTTCATAGTTCTCCCTCTTTTTTTTTTTTAAAGATTTATTTATTTTAAAGTCAGAGTTAACACAGAGAAGGAGAGAGAGAGAGGTATTCTAATTTTTTTTTTATTTTTTTTATTTGACAGATAGACAGTGAGAGAGAGAGAGAGAGAAAGGTCCCCAAATAGCCGCCACGGTTGGCACTGCGCTGATCCAAAGCCAGGAGCCAGGTGCTTCTTCCTGGTCTCCCATGCGGGTACAGGGGCCCAAGCACTTGGGCCATCCTCCACTGCCCTCCCAGGCCAGAGCAGAGAGCTGGACTGGAAGAGGAGCAGCCAGGACTAGAACCCGGCGCCCATATGGGATGCTGGCACTGCAGGCAGAGGATTAACCAGGTGAGCCACAGCGCCAGCCCCGAGAAAGGTATTCTATCCGCTTGTTCACTCCCCAATTGGCTGCAGTGGCCAGAGCTGTGTCAATCTGAAGCCAGGAGCCAGGAGCTTCTTCTGGGTCTCCCATGCAGGTGCAGAGGCCCAAGGACTGGGCCATCCTCCACTGCTTTCCCAGGCATAGCAGAGAGCTGGATGGGAAGTGGAGCAGCTGGGCCTCCAGCTGGTGCCCAGATGGGATGCGGCGCCCAGATGGGATGCAGGTGCTGCACCAGCTGCTCTCCTTAATTGTGTTAAATGAGTTACTGTCATGTTACACTGGGATCCCTAATACTCTTAAGTAGTACCTAGTACTTTTTCTTTGTAGCATTTGTTATTTATTATTTATTATTCTATGAGTTATTTATTATTGTTTAACAAATTATTTCAGAATTTAGTGGTTTAAAATTTTAACTGTTTCATTGCTTGCAATTTTGGAGTCAGGAATTAGCGGACAAGGGGAGCATTTTGCTCTGGCCCACAAGATGTTGACTAAGGTGGCTCAGATTTCAGGATGGCCTTATTTGTTATTATTAATAATCTTGTCTTGGGTCTTAGTGCTTTTATTTGAGATCCCTCATTTTTTCTCTAGGTAGACTTTTATTTATCAGCTGTGCCTTTTTATCTTCTTGTCCTCTCTTGCAGTGAATAACCTGGGTTCCTACTTCTTATTCTTTTTTTTTTTTTTTTTGGCAGGCAGAGTGGACAGTGAGAGAGAGAGAGACAGAGAGAAAGGTCTTCCTTGGTTCACCCTCCAATGGCTGCCGCGGCCGGCGCACCGCGCTGATCCGATGGCAGGAGCCAGGTACTTATCCTGGTCTCCCATGGGGTGCAGGGCCCAAGCACTTGGGCCATCCTCCACTGCACTCCCTGGCCACAGCAGAGAGCAGGCCTGGAAGAGGGGCAACCGGGACAGAATCCGGCGCCCCAACCGGTACTAGAACCCGGTGTGCTGGCGCCGCAAGGCGGAGGATTAGCCTAGTGAGCCGTGGCGCCAGCACCTACTTCTTATTCTTTTAAAAAATTTAATTCATCTGAGAGGCAGACAGAAATCTCCCATCTACTAGTTTGCTCCCCAAATGCTTCCAACAGCTGAAGCGGGGCTGGGCCAAAGCCAGGAGTGGGAACTCAAACCCAGGTCTCCTATCTGGTTGGGAGGAAGCCTGTACCTTGAACTGTCCCTTCTGTCTCCCAGGGTCTGCATTAACAGAAAGCTGGAGTTAGGAGTTGGAGCAGGGTGTTGTACCAAGGTACTATGAAATGGGCCATGTGTGTCTTAACCTGGCATGCTTAGACTTCTTCACATAGGCACACAGGGTACTAAGAGAGCAAGAAATAGTTTCTAATCCTAAAACCACACAGCACTATTTGCACTGAATTCTCTTTTTCATAGTTCTTAATATCATCATGTCAGCCAAGACTTAGGAAAGGAGAAATAGATTACCCCTTTTTCTGGGAGGAGTAACATAAATTTACAGGAATAAGAGAAATTGTTGATACCATCTGTGTAATATATATCCATCCCTTCCAGCTGCCCCAAAATCTCATCCGGTTATGACCCCAACTCAGAGTCCATTATCATATGATCTGCATCAAGTTAGGGTCTGAATGAGGCTCCTTGGGTGTGCGATTTTGAGACAGGGATAGTTAATCACAGTAGATAGTCCCATTGGAGAGGGAAAGATTGGGAAGCATGGCGTTCTGTGAACTAAAGCAATTCTGTGCTCTAACCAAGGACCAGAGAGTGTTCCTTGATTATGGATTTCTTCTGTCTTCTGGTAGTTGTTTTGTAATTTGTTGTTTTTCCTGTATTTTACTAGATCCTTTGGACTGTTGACTCCACTCTTTGAGTCAGTTTGACTTTTCCCTAAGAAATGGACCTTAGGGCTGTTGTGGCATAGCAGGTTGAGCCACTGCCCATAGGGCACATGTTTAATTCCCAGCTGCTCCACTTCCCATCCAGTTCCCTGCTAATGTGTCTGGAAAAGCATCGGAAGAAGACTCAAGTGTTTGGGCCCCTGCCACCTATGTGGGAGACCGGATGAAGCTCTTGGCTTCCGCCTGACCCAGCCTTGTTATTGCGGCCATGTGGGGAATCAATCAGTAGATGGAAGATTCTCTCTCTCTCCCTCTCTCACTATGATTCTGCCTTTCAAATAAAACTAAAACTAATAATAATAATAATAATAATAAGAAGAAGAATGGCTTTGTTAGCTCTTGAATAGGGGTCACAGTCTGCTTCATATATTTGCCAATTTCAAAGCTTAGAAGCCTCTGATTTGAAAATGTTTCTTTTGCTTCATAGTAGTTGAACTCCTTTAAATACTTTGTACATTTTCCATTTATAAGTTTCTAAATATGTTCCCTTAGACCAGTCACATCTACACTTGTTTCTGAGACAAGTCTCTGACTACTTTAGACACTAAGTAAGGTCCTGTAAAAGTTTCTTTTATTTTTAATTTTCATTCTTAACTGATAAAAATTAAACTCATTTGTGGAGTACCGTGCCCTGTTTTGATACATATATACATTGTGTGATGCTCACATCAAGGTAAACATACTTATTTCTCCAAACATTTATAATTTCTTTAGAGAGAAAATATTCAACATCCTGTCATATTTTATATATATATGTATGTGTGTGTGTATATATATATATATATATATAG